GTTTGCAGTAAAGACGGAGACGTAAAATAAATGTGAGCGTCCACACGAATGCATGAAAACGCTGCAAAATGTATGCCAGGCCTGTAAGTGGCGCTGTGGTGCCAAAGCAAAAATAAGCGACGAAATGTTGGGCATGCGCACTAATATTTATACATGGTTGCCCTGCGGGTCTATTTTCGTGGTTAAGTCAAATTCAGGTGCTGAACTATGTCGTCGATATTGCTCTGTTCTTCCTGGAGATATTCCAGAAGAAGATTCTGTTGTAAGCCCGACAGCAGGGTGAGTAGCATTAGCAGCAACGGCGCCATTGTTGTTGTGATGTGTCGCGCATGCGTGTTTAGAGGCGACGCTATGACGCATGCGTGTAAAAAAAAATATGGAAACGCGAAAACGCCGTTTCGAAATCTTCCCACTCTGAAGGCTGAATAAAAAAAAGATCGTTTACAGACCCCCGAAACGCCGGCTTCGTGTGGATGAGAGGCTGGTTTGGTGAAAAATTTGTGCGTTTAGGCCAGGGTTCGTCTTCGTGTGGACGGGGCCTGAGTCTTCACAGGGTCCCTGTGATGAACGTCATGCATCGTTCCTGTACAGAAGAAGCCGTGCCCCAGTGGTTCCAAGGACTACAGACCCTGGCATTGACGTCACACATCATGAAGACCCTGGAGCAGCTCCGGTGCCACAGGAATCATTCCTGCCTGTGGCCATTGGTGTCCTTTGCTGTATGTCTTACCCTTCTCTCTAATCCCAGTTCCTATCTGCCTACTTTCATAAATTGACAAAAATAAAGGAACTAGAGCCCAAAAAGATCATCTTTAAAAAAAGCTATCAATCAGAATGCCTGTGTGGTGCTTCTAAATGTAGGATATTTGTGTTAAAAATATGCCTGTTTGAGTCATAATAATTCAGAACCACCTGGTATGTGCCGCCGCATGATTTTACTGCAAAGTGACATTAAATAAATATCGCATCGTAAATAATTTAAACAAATTGTATTATCATTATTATATAAAATACTCCTAGAATAATCGTTTCACATCCTTTTTTTTTATTAAAATTTTTATTTACTGTGCTGAATAAAATAAAAATGTCGCCGCACCTGAATAACATCTGCTGACATTAACAAGCCCAACAATAGGATACCAGACAATATTAATAAATAGTCTGACTCTAATCAGTATTTAAGACCTTAAAAATCCTCTGTCTCCCTCTCTCCTGTTTTAGACCTACCTCCCCTGCAGTGACTTTTGGGGCGAAGCAAGGGGGATCAACAAAGTATGAGATTGAGTTTCTTTCTCAGTCTTTAGGCATCAAATGAAATATACACTATATTGCCAAAAGTATTTGCTCACCTGCCTTGACTCACATATGAGCTTAAGTGACATCCCGTTCCTAATCCATAGGGTTCAATATGACGTCGGTCCACCCTTTGCAGCTAGAACAGCTTCAACTCTTCTGGGAAGGCTGTCCACAAGGTTTAGGAGTGTGTTTATGGGAATTTTTGACCATTCTTCCAGAAGCGCATTTGTGAGGTCGCACACTGATGTTGGACGAGAAGGCCTGGCTCTCAGTCTCCGCTCTAATTCATCCCAAAGGTGTTCTATCGGGTTGAGGTCAGGACTCTGTGCAGGCCAGTCAAGTTCATCCACACCAGACTCTGTCATCCATGTCTTTATGGACCTTGCTTTGTGCACTGGTGCACAGTCATGTTGGAAGAGGAAGGGGCCAGCTCCAAACTGTTCCCACAAAGTTGGGAGCATGGAATTGTCCAAAATGTCTTGGTATGCTGAAGCATTCAGAGTTCCTTTCACTGGAACTAAGGGGCCAAGCCCAGCTCCTGAAAAACAACCCCACACCATAATCCCCCCTCCACCAAACTTTACACTTGGCACAATGCAGTCAGACAAGTACCGTTCTCCTGGCAACCGCCAAACCCAGACCCGTCCATCAGATTGCCAGATGGAGAAGCGCGATTCGTCACTCCAGAGAACGCGTCTCCACTGCTCTAGAGTCCAGTGGCGGCGTGCTTTACACCACCGCATCCGACGCTTTGCATTGCACTTGGTGATGTATGGCTTGGATGCAGCTGCTCGACCATGGAAACCCATTCCATGAAGCTCTCTGCGCACTGTTCTTGAGCTAATCTGAAGGCCACATGAAGTTTGGAGGTCTGTAGTGATTGACTCTGCAGAAAGTTGGCGACCTCTTCGCACTATGCGCGTCAGCATCCGCTGACCCCGCTCCGTCAGTTTACGTGGCCTACCACTTCGTGGCTGAGTTGCTGTCGTTCCCAAACACTTCCATTTTCTTATAATACAGCTGACAGTTAACTGTGGAATATTTAGGACGAGGAAATTTCACGACTGGATTTGTTGCACAGGTGGCATCCTATCACAGTTCCACGCTGGAATTCACTGAGCTCCTGAGAGCGACCCATTCTTTCACAAATGTTTGTAAAAACAGTCTGCATGCCTAGGTGCTTGAATTTATACACCTGTGGCCATGGAAGTGATTGGAACACCTGATTCCAATAATTTGGATGGGTGAGCAAATACTTTTGGCAATATAGTGTATTTAAGTATATTTTAGGTACAAATGAGATAAACCACATCTTCTTTTTTGTCCTCCTGTTTTTCATCATTTCTTTGTTATCAATCTCTCCTCCCTATATTCCTCTCTGATTGTCTGATATATTTTGGAAAGCTCTTCCTCTAGCTGGGTACATATCAACTATTTGTGTTACGTTGCACCGTGGTTGGAAAGTAACTAGTTCAATTACTCACAATACTCTATTGAAATATATTCTTACTGAAATTTAGACCCTTTTTAAGTAGTTAATTAAAGCTGGAATTTTAATTTCACTTGAATGGGTTTTGATTTAAGAATTTTACTCAAAAACATTGAAAACTGTTGATGAGCATTGGAGGAAAAATAATGGAGGAAATATCTGACAGGGGGAAGTTTGAAGCAAATCGGGATAAATAGTATATAGGTTAATAAAAAAAAGGGAAAATTACACTACGTAATAATTTCGTTCTGTATTTTTTTCCTTTCTTTTATTTTATGTTCAATAACACTATGATGCATATTCTTATGCAAAAACCTATCCTGATTAAAATTGGATAATATAAAAAAACACACAACTGCTATCAACTAAAAATGAATTGAAACAGAATACTGAAGTGATTACTGCATGTTAGGGAAAAACTGTGATTTGGCCATTGGGAGTCAATAAAGAAAACCTACAAAATAACTTTTACTTAAAGGAAAATTTAAATTAAGTACTCCTTACTTACATCAGGAGAGACCAGGCAGATTTGCATGGGGGCCGAGTCCCCCCCGCCTCCACCTTTAGCTTTACCCCTGGCCTGCTAGAGACAGACACCCTCCCCAGTCTGCCTCTGTAACTTTTTTTTTTATGCTGAACACCTTGCAGTCAGAGATATCAGCAACTCCACTGTTTTTAATTTAGCTTTTTAAGATTAAAGTGATTTATCTGCTTGATGTTCAGTTTTATATACACAACAGACAGTGAAATACAATCCAGAGATACTCCTATAATGTTTTTAATCTCTTTTCATCAATGACCTCAAAAATATGTCCCAACAATTTTACCCTGGAAACATAGAAATTACAGAATGTATCTAAGAGTCCAAAGGGCAGAAAAGTTTAATTCAGGCTCATTGATATCAAAGTATCTTTGGACATTAACAGCCTTTAAACAGGTATTAAACGTGCTTTACATTGACCTCAAATTTCTGTGTTAAAATAGATGTGCTGGAATGATGTAGTCTAAAACTGTATAGTTGTGTTTTCACTACTCGCAAATAGAAAATCAAAATGGCTCTTAATCGATAGGACCTGGAAACGTAAACCTGTGTGATCAATCTATATTATGTTTCTCTAAGAAATTGAGTAAAATAAATAATTTTTTATGATATTTCTGTTTTCACCGGTCACAGGAAACCTCTCCAACATACACCCAAAGCTTATTTGACTTTTTTTTTTCTACTATAGTGATGTCTCCAGTACAATGTCTGCCTGGTTTACTAAGTTACTGAATATCAATCTTAGTCAGTGCACTAAGAAAGACTTTAACGACAGAGTGCATTATATACACATACCTTCATTGATAAGCCTGTTTTAGCATTAGGTGAGGTGAACACTTGGACTGTGCTATAAGCAGAAATTATGAACTGTATTCAAGTTTTGTTTAAAAACAGACGTGTGTTCACCTGCTCAAATTTGATGTTAAGCTTCTAGTTTATTCCAGCTACTATAACAGCAAATACAGGATTTCACTTATACAATGTGTATGCATGGAAGCCAGTATGTCTGGACCACAAGCACCAGTTTGGATCTTGCAGAATGTCCATTTTATCAGAACCAGGCAAATCTTTCCTCAAACCTCAGCTTCTAAAAGCTGTTGAACCATCTGACTCCAGCCATTTTTCTCATTGGTGTGAGAAGCCCAGAAGATGCTGATGGCATGCAGTTTCAGGTTGGTCACAGAACACATATACAACCCATATGCTTGAAAGGATCAGTTTTACAAAGATTGTCAGCCATATTGGATATTTGATGTAGTTCAGGAAATTGTGAATTGTGAACTGGATCTTTAGTGGACCAGTAATGCCCCAACAGCTGCTTTTCATTTAAAGTAAACATGTACCCATTTAATGCCTGGGGTTAATACCAAGTCTGCAAAAATGCAGTTTTACATTTAACATATCGACAAAATCATAAAATATTTAATAAAACCATATTTTTCATAAGCATGTTTTAGTTATTCAAAGTTTCATGGTTACTAGGACAACACATCTCCAGGAATTTATAATCAACATTTAATTTTGACGAGGAAACCAGACCAGAATGTTAAGTTTAACATCTGCTTTTATTTATGGATTGAACATATATATTGGATTTGGTCACTGGTGTAACATTTTCTAAAATCACTTGTTGACATAACATTTTCAGAGAATGGAATCATTAATCTTTACTGGCCACCCCTGAGACGGAGGACCAGGTGGAGGGTGGACTCCTTCTGGATGTTGTAGTCAGACAGGGTGCGGCCATCTTCCAGCTGCTTGCCAGCAAAGATCAGCCTCTGCTGGTCAGGGGGGATGCCTTCCTTATCCTGGATCTTAGCTTTGACGTTCTCGATGGTGTCACTTGGCTCCACCTCCAGGGTGATGGTCTTACCAGTGAGGGTTTTGACGAAGATCTGCATGCCACCCCTGAGACGGAGGACCAGGTGGAGGGTGGACTCCTTCTGGATGTTGTAGTCAGACAGGGTGCGGCCATCTTCCAGCTGCTTGCCAGCAAAAATCAGCCTCTGCTGGTCAGGGGGGATGCCTTCCTTATCCTGGATCTTAGCTTTGACGTTCTCAATGGTGTCACTTGGCTCCACCTCCAGGGTGATGGTCTTACCGGTGAGGGTCTTGACGAAGATCTGCATGCCACCCCTGAGACGGAGGACCAGGTGGAGGGTGGACTCCTTCTGGATGTTGTAGTCGGACAGGGTGCGGCCATCTTCCAGCTGCTTGCCAGCAAAGATCAGCCTCTGCTGGTCAGGGGGGATGCCCTCCTTATCCTGGATCTTAGCCTTCACGTTCTCGATGGTGTCGCTTGGCTCCACCTCCAGGGTGATGGTCTTACCGGTGAGGGTCTTGACGAAGATCTGCATGCCACCCCTGAGACGGAGGACCAGGTGGAGGGTGGACTCCTTCTGGATGTTGTAGTCGGACAGGGTGCGGCCATCTTCCAGCTGCTTGCCAGCAAAGATCAGCCTCTGCTGGTCAGGGGGGATGCCTTCCTTATCCTGGATCTTAGCCTTCACGTTCTCGATGGTGTCGCTTGGCTCCACCTCCAGGGTGATGGTCTTACCGGTGAGGGTCTTGACGAAGATCTGCATGCCACCCCTGAGACGGAGGACCAGGTGGAGGGTGGACTCCTTCTGGATGTTGTAGTCGGACAGGGTGCGGCCATCTTCCAGCTGCTTGCCAGCAAAGATCAGCCTCTGCTGGTCAGGGGGGATGCCTTCCTTATCCTGGATCTTAGCCTTCACGTTCTCGATGGTGTCGCTTGGCTCCACCTCCAGGGTGATGGTCTTACCGGTGAGGGTCTTGACGAAGATCTGCATGCCACCCCTGAGACGGAGGACCAGGTGGAGGGTGGACTCCTTCTGGATGTTGTAGTCGGACAGGGTGCGGCCATCTTCCAGCTGCTTGCCAGCAAAGATCAGCCTCTGCTGGTCAGGGGGGATGCCCTCCTTATCTTGGATCTTAGCCTTCACATTTTCAATGGTGTCGCTGGGCTCCACCTCCAGGGTGATGGTCTTGCCAGTGAGGGTTTTGACGAAGATCTGCATTTTGTACCTGATCTATTAAAAAAAAAATAAAATAAAAATAAATACACTCCAAACCTATTATATTCTGACTTAATCTCTGTCGTGCTAATACTTCATTGCTATATACAATGCAAAGATGAGGAACTACATGCTACAGGATAGTTCCTACTAAATGTGTTTTTTTTTTTTTTTAATAAGTCATAATCAAATCCCACTTCTTTAAAACCTATCTCCACTTCTCTTTTGGGACGCAAACATTTCCTTACTAGGAAACGGCAAAGGTCGACAATTCTGTACACTGAAAAAAGTCAAGTGAATAACTAAATACGTTAAATAATCCTAAAATTTATCAGGAACACAAGAGGAAATTGAAGCATTTGACCGCGCCTTAGCCACCATTAGCGGCGGACTGGGCGCCATTTTGAGCTCATGTAGTCCTTTGTTCGCCGGTTAACCGCCAATGGCCGAACCTTTAACTGTCGCCTTACTGCTACAGCATAGGAACGCTAAACTTCTATACTTGCCAGATCTAGAACAGTATTTTATGTATTTGTTGAAGTTCAAAAATAAAACAGTATACGTTACGACCGTCAAACCTTAAATTTTAAAATTAAAAAGAGGACTTAAAGCACATAAACTTCCTAGTACATTAAGATGATAAAATATGTCGTAGTCTACCACATTTTAATTTTACTTACACTTCCGTATAACGTCTGTAAACGCCGGTCGCGTTAGTTATCTCGTCGAAGAGGGTATCTTGCTGCTTCGGAACTGCTGCAGCGACGGCGTCGAAGCTGGTTTTAAACCATACGGGGTTGCCAGATTTGACTCACGGTTTCTAGCCCAAAAGCAGTGAAAACTCCGCCCAACCTGGCAACACTGATACTGAGCTGAACAACCCCCCAGAATCTGCTAGAAACGCCACGACAACAAGAATTTGCTCCAAGATTCTGATTGGGTAATGCAGTTGTTTGTTTGCTCCGTGATTGGTTGTTGAGTCACATTAGGTAATCCATGGTGACTGAATCATGTGAGATGAATCGCCTTATAATATACTTTTTTTAAGAAATATACCCGACACTAGTGGAATATTCCATCTGTAGGTTAAGGTTTTCACAGTAAAATACGTGTTTTCGGGGATTTCAGTTTAAGTTATACAAAATAAAACACGACTTTCGATGGTTTTTCGGGTTTTTATCTTGCCTGAATGACTTTGCATTTATCTGAGTCGTACCCGGAAGGACAGACATGCCCAAGCAAAATCTCAAATATTACATTATCCAATAGATTTCTGTTAATACAGCGAATAAAGCGGTTATTATAGAACACTCATATATGATTACATCTTTTTTTGACCAGTTCTCATTAATAATCTCCAAGTCAACATTGAAACCAACAGGATTCCTTATCTTTTATCATCTTTATGCTTTCCCGAGGTCATTGGTGTGACATGCAGTGGAAGCATAATCAAGAAAGCAGAGTCAGATGACGAACAGTGCGTTTCCCGACAAGATTAATATACTTATATCAGGATATTTGAATCTGTCCAGCTTGAGTAGTTCTGTTAGTTTCTCAATTGTACTTTTTTCTATAGATATTAAATGTTAGATGTTAAAGATGTTAGGTTTCCATGACAATAAAATGGTGCTGACTGATGCTATAGTCTATATATATCTTAAAATATTCTTAGATTGAACTATTAGGTAACGATTGCAAGCCTTTTCATTTTTATCTTGCACCAAGTTACCAGACTTAGAGGGAAGGACTAAAACAACAAGTAGAGCTTTATTTTTCAGTTTGAAATTATATAAAGGGTTGATATGCAGCTCTGTAACTTACTTATGGTCTATTTTGGGCCACATATTGGATAACAGTACTGAGAGTATGTATTTGGGTCACAGTATTCTCTCAGCCCACCCATTCAGGACCATGTCATATGAACCCGTGATCTACCACGTTATTGCAGGTCTACATCTTGTGGGCTGATCTTTTTCAGCCTCTCAGGAATGTGTTTGTTCAAGTCTGTTGCACATTGCCCTGCCCCTTGTTTGAATTATCAACTAAGTTTCAGGAAAACAACTCACAAAAGCAGAACTAGGTCTAGCCCACTTTTATGAACACTCTATAAGACTACCTTTTCAATCATCAGTCACTTTTAACATGTTCAGCAGTTTTGGTTGATCTAGTCTAGGTGAAAGGTCTTTTGTAATTGTGAAACTTATCAGTGTCCTACTTTGTTTGGTCTCTCTGTGATTTCCGTGATAGGATGACTGGAATATTCCAGCTGGCTCCACATCAGCAGGTTTCGCAACAAACACGTCACGCCAAGTTCAGCTGAACTTTTATGTAAGTGTTTGGTAAATAGATAGCAGTTTATATGATTTACTAACAGCGAGACGAAAAGAACATCGGTAAACTATACCGATGTTTTTGCTTCTCTTATTTTAAGGATGGACCTTGTGAAACATTCAGGTGGATGCCACTGTGGAGCTGTTAGATTTGAAGTCTGGAGTTCCCCCAACCTCCATGTCTTCCACTGCAAGTGTGTATCATTAATCTCATTTCATATTGTATTACATCCATCTTAGAACATTATCAGTGGATGGAAGAACTAAAACAATTTTTAAATCAAACCGAAACAATGCCCGGGTACTTTTTAGGTGTAGTTTGTTTCATGATAACCACAAACCTATCTTTTATTGAATAATTTTGTGTTAAATCGACAGAAAATGTAAGCTTTCAAACTTCTGCTCCACCCACCTTCTTATCAAGTCGGACAGGTCCATGTTAGAGGAAACGCCTTCCCACACATGTTTTCTGTGGAAATGGTCTTACACCTTAGAATTTAAGTTAATGGTCAGAAAATAGAAATCTGGTCTTTTCTGACTGGGACACCTTCCGCAAGTTGACTTTAACGTACATCGTTAAAGTCACAGGAATTCTTATACCTTTAAAAAAAAACTTTTTGTTAGTGATCCAGAAAGGTCAGATTCACAGAGTACATAAGTAGCCTGTTGGCACTTTTAATAAATATAGGTTGGGCATGTAAGCTGTTGTGCAACACTCCTTATATTATCAGATGTTTACGTTTTATTTTATAACCTAAACCTGCTTTAAACTTCTCTTCACTCCCTCGCCTGTCTGAGGTGTTCCTTGGTCTTCATGGTTCTGTTTATTCTCTAATGATTTCTAATGAACCTAGGAGGCCTTCACATGACTGCATTTAAACTGCTTTTAAATTACACGCACGTCGTCTCCATTTACTAATTAGATAGCTTTTGAATGTTTCCCCAGATATTATAGTAGAACATGTCTGAATAGAAATGCTGCTCAAATTTTGAAGATTTTTTAGTATAGTTTTGAAAATGATAAATCCTTTTTTTTCTAGTTCACAATGCTATGTCCGATGCCACATCAATGAGAGAGGAGTTCCCCAGGGCTGTGTTCCCAAAACTCTTCTGTTCTTTCATATAAATCCTCATTAGTTGGTAAACATCAACTTCTGTGATTCTGTTGAAACTTCCTCATAGATGCCCTATACTGCTTTAAGATAAAACAGACCCAGCAATGATACACACTAATGTTTATGGCAGTTATCTGAAAATTTAAGGAGAATTTAACCCAATTTATTTGTTTCCCCAGTTGTAGTATTTGCACCAAGAAACAAAACCACCATTTCATCGTTCCAAAAAGTAACTTTACCCTCTTACAGGTTTGTTTGCATCAAACACATTGTTTGATTATGACACATTCTTTAATTATGAGAATGATAAAAAAAAAAACAAAAAAAAAACTGTGGCTGTTTCTTCTCTTTAGGGAATGGACAATCTGACCACCTACAGCTTTAACACCCATGTGGCTAAACACACCTTCTGCAGAACCTGCGGAGTTCAAAGTTTCTACACGCCACGGTCCAATCCTGATGGATATGGTACGACAAAGCCTCAAATATTGACTTAAGACTGTTTCGTAACCTGACCTAGCTAGTTTTCTCTCAGATGTTATGAAGGAAACAGAAGTCAAAATAGGGGATACATACTGTAAGCTGGAAATTCCCTTGAAACCTACTGCTCACCCAGCTGGTATAACCAGGTTCACCTGACGTATGTAAAATACAAGTGTCTACTGTTTTAAATGTGGTTTGTTTCTATTTATTGTTCCTCCCTCAGGTGTTGCTCCGCACTGCCTGGATCCAGGAACAGTTCGCAGTGTGGAGGTGGAGAAGTTCTGTGGAGAGCAATGGGAAGAAAGTATGCAAGCCCACAAGAGCATCAGAGACATGTCGAAAGCCGGAACCGAGCTGCAAAAATAAGACTGACTGGAAACAGCATTTAAAAACATTTTTAATGAACGTCATACAAAAATAAAACAGAAACTAACTCAGTTACAGTAGTGTTTTTATACAGTGTCCTGACAACAACATTCTTTGTGTCCCATTAACGCCCAGTAGGATTCATATTGTTTACCATCTTAGAAACCTTAGTCTGCTTTGTTTCTAAAGATCACATGAAAATATTGTGGTTTCTAAGGCTTGCGTAAGCTGCATGATTTACAACAAACACACAGTCACAGGTTGGAGCTCTCAGTAGATTTTCAGGTTCTTCGGTCCTTGTGGAATCATTTGGAATGTGTTAATGAACATATACCTGGAGAAGGTGATGTAGAGGTACCGAAACCACAGCAGCTGAGTGCGATGGCACAGCATAGCAGCCTGTGACAGACAACATTTTTAACTCATAAAATGAATCATATTTTGGACTCCTTAATGCATATTCCTATTACAGTGTACTTAAAGGGTGTGTGCTCTCTAAAAATACAAAGTGTTGAGTCGTGCGGACAAATTTGTCCGTACTGAGTCTTACTTTAGCTTGCTTGTAGCCCTTTGAAGCCACAACGCAGCAGAAATGTGACGGTAGAAGCCAGCTGAAGGGAAGGTCCAGGAAGGAGAGGTACTTCCTTAGAAGGCCAACAGTCTCCAGGGAGAGCAACACACAGTCTGCAGGGAAAGACATGGAAGACTCAGAAAGCTGGTAATGTGAAAAGATCAGGATGGACGTTAACTAGGCCACTGTCCAGACAACAAGCTCTGCCTGTTTTTCAGGAAGTAGGAACAGGAGACGTGCTATATGGTATTAAAATACCACATCGTACGGACAGACATGGAAAAGACTGTTTTCTCGTTAATGCAGCAAGAAACACTTTATTCCATTAGCTGAGATCCCTTTGCAGCCTGATGGGAAGGGACATCAGGATTAATCATCAGCTGCTCCACTTGGAGCTAACAGGGAGGGTCATGGCGCCGAGGCGGACAGTGCCTTATAGAACCTCATTCTTACCTCTTAAACCTTTTGCCATGTTAAATTCAGCATTTTATTCAGATGTTTCTATCAAACAAACCAAAAACAATGCAGTGTTTAACCGTGCAATGGTTTCTTTATATAAGATAGAATCTGACAAGTTCATTAATGCTGTTCTTGTTCTGTTTATTAGTTACCTATATGCTAAAGCACTTGATTTTATTTATGGGCACCAGAGTAAAATAGATGAATAAAAATGATTGGCATTCTTTTCAGATTTGTATTGTATGACAAAAAGTGAAAAAGTTGAAGATATATAAATACTATTGCAAGACAATGTATGTGTCTTTACTATATTATGTTATTTATATTCAGTGGTTTTGTGTATTAAGTAGGATTTCACCAAACCAGGGAATAAGATCGTTTTAACATCTTAAACTTGATGTACTGTCCTTTCATTCTTTTTAGAGAACTTCCAGCTAGCAGCATTTTAGGTACTTTTCAATGAAAGCAAAAGTGAAAACAAAAGACAAATCAGATCATGACGCAGACTGGTTTCTCTGATGCTCGTTTAAAAACTTTAAAATTTTTTTAGAAAACTTCTTAAAGCAGACGAACACAGTGAGGTCCAGCTGGCTTAATGTTGCAGCCCTGAGAGCAAATAGATGCAGCAGAGAAGGTCAATAAATGTGTTTGGACAGAAGAGGGCGCCAAATATTCATCACATGGCCAAATAAAAATCTACCACTCTCTGCTGCACCTTTCAGGACTTTCAGTAAACACATCAATCTTCCAAAAGTTTTCCTTATGTTAGCCCTTACCTTTAGGTAAATCACCGGTGGAAGCGAGATGTCTGTAAGGAAAAACGAGAAGGATTAGTGTTTTCGGTGCAGCTAATGCTGCAGGAACGTGTATAGGTTTGTCATTATATTAATTATGCCAACTGTTGCTCATATGCATTTGCAGAAATCTGTTTATGACTTAGTGGTTGTTGTCAGTAGACATACAGAGCCATTTTTTCCCCCTGAGTCTTGCACTTCAAGCATTCACTGGCTGTTGACTTTAACCGAATACGTGAGGAGAAAACCACTGAGATGCACAGTGATGGGAAACTAGCAACCATTCCCCCTGGGCTGCAGCTTTATGAGAATCATGAGATGGAATTTTTACAACTCGCTGGTCAGAAACAAATAAGACAAGAGAGCCGTAACCGTGAAGGCACAGCTGTTTGCTAGAAAGAGATCGGAGTGCCTTCTAGGGATCCTGATAAACTCTTCTCCAACACATTTCCCTGAACTGGCAAAAGGCGGCCTATCCAAACCAGAGTCGCCCCCTCCCTCTCTTCCGTCCTCACTTTGGGGACAGGATTTACGGCCGCTCGCTAGGAGCCGAGCCCAGAGCCTCAGAGGACTCTGTTTGGATGACCTCTCAGCTATGTAACAGACCAATTCTGAAAAACATGATCTCTGTGCATGTGTGTGTGTGAGTCTTTGTGGGGAAGCGTTTAGAGGGATGGCGGCTTTTGTTACGAGTCCAAAATTTTCTGCATTTTCCTGGAAAGACTTTTATGACTGTGGAGAGGTCTGCTTTCAGGGTTTTAGTGTCGTCTGTTGCCAAAAGTCGTTGGTATGGCTAGGGCCTTACCTGACAGCTTTATAGATGGCTACGTGATTGGCATGGCCGCTCACACCGCTTCCATCAAAGGTCAGCACCTGAAACAATACGATCGCTCACAGTTTGGGTTAAAAACAGCAGAATGTCTTAAGAGTTAAAACAACCGATGCAGTGAAACAAAAAGATGTGGGGTTGGAGGCATACGGGGGCCTGACCGTAGAGCTGCATGGCAGCTGACAGCCATATATTTCAGTGTTTTTCTCTGCATACTTGAACACCACAGGAGGAAAGAAAAAGCAAGGAGAAAAGCAAAACTAAAATCAGGTCAAAGGGAGAAGAGCAGGCACACATCCGAAGACCTGAGCTGTTCTGTTAAGATGTGCTCTTCCACAATGCTCTCTACATCATGTAACCCCCCCTATGCTCATAAATTATAAGTAACATATGAATTTCTGATGTAGGACAAGAAAAAAGACAACATGTAAGCCTGGAAAAGGAATGTTCAAACTGAATGTCTTATTTTATTTGCTGAGCATAATCAGTTTAAAGTTTTTTTTTTTACGACTGAGGATCAGTGAGGGACATCTGCAACTATCGGAGACTTTGGAGAACCTCCTTTCACTTCAGTCAAACCAAGTCTTTAGAAGTGTGTTTCTATTAGCTTTGAACATTGAGAGACTGACACCTCCGTCTGTTTTCCTAAAAAAAAAAAAAAAACATCGGCATCTATCAGGCTGGATAGATGCTGTTTTTGGAGATACATCCTTAAATAATGTTGCAGACTCTTTATCAGTTTTAGGGCTGGACTTTGACTAGGCCGTTCTGAGTAATGGGTGTTCTTTGTTCAGGAGTCAGTTTTAGATGGTTTGGTCCCTTGTCCAATCCGGATGACGTACTGACTGATTGTCCTAAAAGTCTGCTCTGACTTGGCAATTAATTAACCCTTGAGTTCATAATATGTTTTTTTTTCCCCCAGTGTTACTTTACATTTGGCTTCATACATCTTCCCATAATTTTTATCGGCAACCTTGTCCCCAATGAAGTATGTGTCCCCACAGCATGATGCTGCCAATGTCATGTGTAACAGTGGGGATGATGTACTTGGTTTGCTTAAACACGTGTGATGAACTTTGCAACCTTCCACCTGTTACAGCATTAGCACGGAACAACCAGAATGTTTCACTCGTCCTCATCTATTGTTGATTCCCTGTTTAAATTCTCATTCCCTCAGGTCATTGCAACCACAAAACAAATTAGAAGGTAACCAGAATCTGGCGTAGTTTTTTTTTGAAGAAGTTTTGACACCTACCCAGATGTCTTTGTCAACTCTGTTGGCTCGCACCACAGCAAACTGTGGTTGGAGCGCTGATGTATTTACGCAGCACGGAAGTCGGTCCTGTTAAACACATTCCAAGTCAGATGCAAATCTAATAGCCGCTCCTTGTTTTTCTGGATTGTTTGAGTCTTTTGTTGTGCGTGGCCTATGTGATTGGCCTTTGGAATCATAATGGGAGTGGTTATGTAACTTCTTAGAAATGAGCACCATGACTAAATTATAAATGCTTGAAAGCTGAATGATTTTCCCCCTGTGTTCACAGAGGGCTTCTCTAGTTTCATAAAGATAGCATCCTTTACTCCTCTTTCAAACCATCTGTCCTCTCTGCCCAAAATCTGGACACTGTGGTCTTAAAAGGTGTGTCCTTTGTTTTTTGTCTTTGGTATGAACTATTTTGTGATGTTGGGTTTAAAATTCACCATGTTGTGTTTGGAGAAAATTGTTCATAGCTTCTCAGAAATTCCTGGCACATATGGAACTGAAATGTTTTTGTCTCTCGCAATGTTTGTTCTTCCTGCTAGTTGTTTTTGGCCAACTTCAATGCCCAACTTCAAGTGATGTTTGTGTTCCTTTCCTTTCTCCTCTGTAAGTGAGGGAATTTATCAGCCTGGTAAATCGGAGTTCTGATCAACGAAAGGTTATGTTCTAGTGGGTTTTGTGAGTCAAAATGAAGGTGTTGGTCTGTATGTGTAGGTTTCTGGTAAACTTCAGTATTAAGACTTCTATTCTGCTCAATGTGCACAGCACAGTCCAGAAAATGCAACATGTTGTTCTTGGCATCATCTCTAGTGAACTTGATATTTTTGTCCACTGAGTTGATATGATTGGTGAGAGCCTCAACTTACAGGGTTTAGATTTTGACCCTGGTGTCATCCACATATCCGAACCAGTGAGTTGGTTGTGTTCCCTTGTATGTGCTGAGTGCTATGCTCTCCATCTCCTCCATATAGATATTGGCAGCAATGGAGGAAACGGGAGCCAATGGCTCATCCATATGTTTGTCGCTAAAAACATTCAGTGTCTTTGAAGTATGTGATAGATACGCAGAGGTTCAACCGTTCACAAATCTGGTTTCATCATGTTCCAGTTGTGTCCCGACTGTGTTTACTGACTCTGATGTGGGAATGCAGGTGAAT